TTGCTATTGTGTCTAACGTATTTATAAGGTACCATGTGATTTTTTTTTGTTGCTTTGTATGTCCCTCCCCCACAGTATAAACCCTGTTTTCACTGTATTTGATGTTGGTATAATTTGGGAAAGAAGAGAAAAAACAAATTGTTTAAATAGGGATACAGATTGACCCATTGCAATGAGATGTATAAGATGCTATGTCGAAAAACAAACTTTACAATTTATGTGTGGGGGGCGGGTGTAGCTGAGGAGGTGGGAGGGAAGGGATGGTAGGGGAAAAACAAAGGAGGAGGCAACAATGCCGGATAAGAAGTGTACTCATTACCTTGCTCATGTAACTGTAACCCTTCTGTACACTATTTTCACAATAAAAAAATTAATTAAGAAAAAGATGATGGTAAGCGAAATGAACCCCAAAATAGGGAAACAAGTATCTTTTTTCTTTCTTGCTATTGTTTCTAACATATTTATAATGGGCCATGTGATTTTTTTGTTTCTTTGTATGTGCCTCCCCCTTGGTATAACCCCTGTTTTCACTGTAGTTGATGTCAATGCCCTGCATCTTGTATATACTGTTCTCTAATTCAGAGAGGGAAAGGGAAAAACAAAATTCTTAAATAAGGATACAGGTTGACCCATTTTAACAATGAGATGTACAAAACACTATGTTGAAAATGAACTTTACAACTTCAGGGGAGGTGGGTAGTTGTGGAGGTGGGAGGGAAGGGATGGTAGGGGAAAAACAAAGGAGGAGGCAACAATGCTCAATAGGAAATGTACTCATTACCTTGCTTATGTAACTGTAACCCTTGTACAATATTTTTACAATAAAAACGTACAAAAAAGAAAAAAATATAATTAAAAAATAAAAAATTAGTATCTCTGTCGTTTTGTAACTGAATTGTCAGAGTTCCTATATAAAATGAATATAAATTATTTGTCAAAGGTGAATATACCAAATATATTCTCCTAGCCTGTGGCCTTTCTCTTCATTTTGAGAAGCAGATGCCTTTGATGTTATTTTCTTTTATGATGTATATTTTTCTGACCCCTGTGAGAACTTTTTGTGTATTGCAAGGTTGTGAAGATAATGTTCTATATAACTGAGAGTCACAGATTTTAATGCAAAAACGTTTGTACATAAATCGCTCATAAATATAATATCACACATTGTATTTTTAAAATAATGTACTTTTAAAACAATGGTGTTTTCTGTATAATATCATTGTACCTTTATTTAAATCTTGGAATTTCAAAAAATAATAATAATGTTCTATTCTGCCCCCCCCCCCCCCAGTTTTGATGCTGAAGTCTTTGGGCCATCTCAATTGTGTAATGTGAAGGCTTCATCATCCCCCCTTATCTGTTTCAGCACCATTGGTTGAAAAGACTTGGCTTTCCACACTGATTTGTTTTGGTGTTTTTTTGGGAAAATCAATTGATTTTATGTGTGTGGTCTATTTCTAGACTCTGTTTCTTCCATTGATTTGTTTGTTCTTCTGCCACAATAATTTCAGTTACTTTGGTTTTATAGTAAGTGTTGAAAGCAGGTACTATATATGGCTGTTATTGCCTCTCTCCTTCTCGACTATTAGGCTACATAGGTCCTTTGCTTTGCTTTTCTACAACAGTTTTCACACTCAACCTATAGAATCATTTTCTATGACAATGCCCTGCTGAACTTCTGATTGTGGTGAATCCATAGATTTCCCTTCGCCCCAACTCATTCCTTTTGAGTACCTGTTTACTGGTGTTTTACTTTGCTGAACTTTGATTTTGGCTTTCTAAGAAACTACAGCATTTGAGGTCTCACTTGATTCTAACATATTTCAGTGAATACATTTATATACACTTGCATACTACCTATTTACTCGTGAGTTTGTAAGCTATCGAAGACCCAGAAATAAACCTCCAGACATACAGCTGTCAATAAAGGAGGCAAAAACATAGGTTGGAAGAAAGACAGCCCCTTCAACAAGCTGGCAAAACTGGATATCCACATGCAGAGAACGGAAACTAGATCCTTGATAAATGGGACTTGATAATAAAGAGTTCATAAATGGGACTGCATCAAACAAAAAAGTTTCTGTATGGTTAAGGACATAGCTAACAAGCTAAAAAGATAGACAATAGAATTGTTGAAGATCCATTGCAACAATGAGATGTACAAGTCATTATGTGGAAAAACGAACTTTACAACTTTGGTGTGGGGGGAGGTGGCAGGGTGAGGGGGGGGGGAGATGGGAAGGGATGGGAAGGGGAAACAAAGAAGGAGGCTACAATGCTTAATAAAAAATGTACTCATTATCTTGCCCATGTAATTGTAACCCCTCTGTACAGTATTTTCACAATAAAAAAATTAAAAAAAAAAAAGAATTGTTGAAGATCTTTGCCAGCTACGCATCAGTCAACAGCCTATCTAGGATATGCAGAAAACTTAAAAAAAATTAAACCCTCAAAATCTCAACAACCCAATTAATAAATAGGCTAATGAGCTAGAGATCTTCTCAAAAGAAGAAAAAAATGTAATTGTTTTTTGAATTTCATTTTTCAATGAAATTTAATTGCATATTACCAATAATAATATATTTTAATATGTTGATGTTGATACATTTCTAATTTAAGTAGTTGTTGGCTTGTTAGGACTTGATCTGTAAACAATCATTTCTCTCAATGTTTATGTATATTATTTTCTTTCCTTATGAGACAAACTAGAATCTCCAACACAATGTTAAATAGAAGTAACAATTAGAGGCAACACTGTTATCCTGATTTGAGGAAAGAACATTTGCAGCTTTATTGTTGAGTATTCTGAGGGACTAAGGTTTTCATTTATTTACTTGTATAGAAGTCCATCATTAGATAAAACAAATTCCTTCCTTAAATACTACTTTGTCAAGAATTATAATTTTTTACATTCATGTATGGGAATTATTTTTCCAAGTGATTTTCCTATACCTACTTATATTTCTTCTTTATTCTGTTAGTATGGTGAGTTACATTAACTGACTTTTCAATGTTAAACCAACATATGTTCTTGCAATATATCTCACTTTGTTATAAGAAATTACTGTACATTTTTCACAAGTTACTGGATTATATATGCTAATACTGTAAGAATGTTTACATCAATTATGACAGGTGCTGGGTTATAATTTTCTTTTTGTATAAAGTTTAAGTATGGGTTACACTACTTTACACAATAAATTGGGTAATTTTCCTTCCTCAATTTTATCAAAGAGTTTTTATAAGACTAGTAATTTATTTTGTATGTTCCACTGGTTATGTACTTATTTAATTTTTGGCTCATCATTTAAAATATTTATTCTATATTTCTTCTCATTGAGTAATTCTTGTTGATCTCAATTCAAGTACATTCATATTTTTTGTCTTGTGATTTGTCTTGTGTCTTCATTTAACACCACCTAGTAAATTTTTCATTTCTGCTGTTGTACCGTTTAGTCCCAAAAAATTCATTTGGTTCTTCCTGTTTATATTTCCCTAATGAAATTCTTTCCTATTTTTGGTCACGATGACAGTGTGTGTGTGTGTGTGTGTGTGTGTGTGTGTGTGTGTGTGTGTGTGTGTGTGAGAAAACATAACTTGCTTCTAAGCAGCTTATATTTGAGTTGTGAAAATTCTTTTTTTTGGGGGGGTCTCTTTTTATTTATTTATTTTTAAATCATTTTTTATTGTGAAAATACTGTGCAGAGGGGTTACAATTACATGGGCAAGATAATGAGTACATTTCTTATCAAGCATTGTAGCCTCCTCCTTTGTTTCCCCTTCCCATTCTCTCCCCCCCCCCCCCCGCGCCTCCCCCCACCAAAGTTGTAAAGTTCGTTTTTGATATAACAACTTGTACTTCTCATCGTTGCAACGGGTCCACCTGTATCCTTATTTCCAGTCTAAATGTGACTCAAAAGAAGCACATTTTTCAGTGACTATACCCTTTTCAGTTCTCTAGAATGCCTCCAGATGGCATTAAAACTCTTTTCCCATTATATTTTGTAGCACAAACAAATGAAAAATTAGTAATATTTTAACTTTGAAGACTGTTCATACTCATGATGCAATCAGAAACTACAACAATGGAACTGTTCAGAACTTTTAAGGGAGTGCCTTGAAGGACAAACTCTACAATCAAACCTATTATAATATATTTAAGAACCAGATCTTGGACAAAATGAAACACACAAAATTATATCCCAGACTGTGATTTCTAATGACTAGCATTTCAATGCTTAATAAGTAATAAGAACAACCAGTCCATAAACAGAAACTCTCACAAAGACTGTCCTAAAATAAGAGAGCAGATGTCACTCACTGAAAGTGACAAAAACAGTGGTTTTGAAAGGAAGGGTTACTGACTCTGTAGACCTAAGCAAAATCATTTGTTATAACTCAATAAATAACTGAAATATTGGTATATCAATTTGGTGTTCAATTAATAATTTCATCACACTTATGAAGTCTTTGAATACTGAGAGGAAAACAATAACACAGAGGTAGGGATATATGCTTCATTATTTAAAGATACCAACAAAATCTTGAGTTTCCAAAGACAACTATAATCATATTTTCACATAATTCAGAAGAAGACTGCAGATGCAGGCTTGTTAAATAATAGAGCTACTGCACTGATGTGCGGAAAGAATGTCCTCAGTATGTGTGAGAAGTTTGGCAAGTTTTGACAGTGCTCAGTCTCCAGCCAAAGTATAAAGGGCTCACATCATTTCTCTCCAAGTCTATACCTTCAAATCTCCTTACATTTCTACTTTAAAAAGAGGAACATTTACATTTTCATGGTTCCTTTCTCTCTACTACAGCATCAGATTTAAAAATGCATCAATACCCAAAAGCATTTAAAAAGACATTATCATGAAAAAAGAGAACCCAGCTTCCTTCTATTGAGATTACTACCATTACAAGATAGTTGCACAGTTTCATTTTATAAGACTTATTAAAGAACAGACATCTCCCAGAGAAACAAGAAAAAGACTTACGATGTATTTGATGTGCCATTGTCTGGACTCTCTGGCTCAGCTTCACCTTTTTCTTAAAAAGGAAGTAGAAAAAAATATCAACATGAAAGTCTTGCAATCTTCAAGATTTAAGAGAGATTAAACAAATTTCTATGTTCCTATGCACAATCTTTCAGAATGTGAAGCAGGAGGCTGTTAAAACATCTTTTATTGTCTGAGGACTAGATTTGCAAAATTATTTTGTCTTTGCAATGTAATTAGCCTAGGCACAGATCTATGAGTAGGTATTAAGAAGCTATTTGCAAACAACCAGAGATTTGGAGTAGAGACCTTGCCAAGAGATGAATATCATGCAGATGGAATCAGTTTATTTCCCCTCCATTTTACAGAAAGTTTAAGGGAATACACCTACTAGCATTTTACATCCAAAGCACTCTGAACTACACAGGTCAAATGGGGCTAGGCTGAATAAGAACTTGGATGAGAGAATTTTATAGAACATCAAGGTTGTAGTCATGAAATCCTTAAGAATTACACCTCAACCCTGGGCAGCCTTTCCCAAGTTAAAACACAAGAAACCAAAAATCCTTGTTGGTCATCTGATCAGATAGATAGTTATGTACATATGGCCATCTGAAATGATGCTAATCCAACTGAACTCCCAGGATAGGGAAATAAGTTTGTGTGTGTGTGTGTGTGTGTGTGTGTGTGTGTGTGTGTGTGTGTGTGTGTGTGTATCTGGTGTCTGTGTGTGTGTGTGTGTGTGTGTGTGTGTGTGTTTTAATGTACTGTGTGAACTTCTTTTTACTTTCAGTTCCCCCCGTCCCAACTTTTTTTTTCCCCCGTCATCACTTTTTTGATTTTGGTACCCTGTATCTTGTATATACGTTTATCTGATTTGGGAAAGGGAAAGGGACTTACAAAATGGTTAGAAAAGGACAAAGGGTGAACTAATGCAGCAGCGATATTCACAAGACACTATGTTGGAAATGAACTTTACAACTTGGGGAGGAGGGGAGTTTGAGGGAGGGAAAGTGGGAGAAAATGAGGGAGGGGGTAACACTGTTCGATAAGAAATTATGTTACTTATGTAGCTGTAACCCCTATGTATATCACTTTTACAATAAAATAAAACATTAAAAATAATATTGTGGGATGTGGTCACCAGGAATTTAATGGGTTTAGTTAGGTTAGCCTTTAAAGTAGTTTTATTTTTGGAGTTTTAGGGGCAATTTCTAATCCTAGACCAATTGTGGTGTGGAACATGAGCTATCATTGGGTAAGAAGCCTCTTGTTTGGTTTTCTGGAAGCTGGGCATGGAAGAAAAATCAATCAAGCTATGGCTGCTGGTAGCTCTGCATGGGTAAGTGTTAGAACCAGGTTAAATTAAACAAAGAGTATTAATTAGACCAAGAAAAAATGAAATTTAACTGGGACAAACAAATCCCAGGTAACCTGAGAAATTAAGTACAGATCCTAGCAATGGAACAAACTGAGGTCTAGCATTTACTGAAATTTGCAAAGTGAGTAAAAATAGGGCCAACCTTGAAGGACAGGATCTCCTTGTAGAGAAAAACTCCAGGAGAGTCATTAAAAGGAAAAATTCCAAAGATAAAGACTTGGAGTAAATTATGAGTTAAACACCAGGTTACTAGAATTCGGTAAATAACAGTGAATCTTAGAAAGAGCCAGAAAACCTGGAAGGGGTTTGATTTTGGGGTATGATAAGTGAGAAATTTGTAATGTGGTTTTTGCTTTGAGGACTTATTACTTTGCTTATAGAGACTGTAATTACTATTTCACTAACTTGCTTCTTTGATGGGAAGATTTGGGATAAGGACTCTGCCTTGTGACTTATGGTCTTGGTTATTGGAATGACTGGAATTATAATTGCCATTTTGTAATCACTAACTGCTATCTCAGCTTCTGTAACTTGCTTCTTTGCTGATCGTGAAACTACCACTGGCTACCTGTGAGTGGCTATTTGACTTTATTGAGCTATTTACTGAGCGATTTGACATTATTGCTGCTCTTCACTGTCTTGGTATAGTGAGGTGCAGCCACAGCGGCAATAAATACTCCTGGCTGAATTGACCAAGTGTTGGGGTGTCTTGTTGGGAAATCGGGTACTACATTAAGAGTTAAAGGAACCCCAATGAAAGTCATGAATTGCAAAAAAAGGGGTATGCTAGTGGCATACTGTACTCTTTCAAGTAAGACCTGGTTATCTCCTAGGATCTTTCAACCTTTTGCTCAGGTCCTCAGGCCTAAGCATTGTACTAAGCCCTATGTGTCAGCTGACAAAGTTAGCCTGCGATCACCTTGTCTCAGGAATGACCTTTTCCTCTATTAGACAATGAATATATCCTAAAAATGTTGTCTAAGCTGAGCTCAAAACAAGCTTCCTATTTTCTTTTTCCTATAGCAAACAGCTATGAGAAAAGGCAGGCAAGAGTTAGATAGGGTTCATATATCCAACTAGATATTTAAAATCTGGGTTGTGTGTACACCTGGTCCAAGAACAGAAATGTGAGAGATAGCCACTTAGCCAAAAGTTGATCATATAGGAGAAAACCAACGTCTCAAAATGTTTGCTGATAATGAACTAACTAGTCAGGGTCCCAGACTATGGGAAATCAAGTTAAAGCAAAAGCAACAGATTAATAAACTTGTTCTAACACTCATACTTTATTATTATACTGGGTCAATGCTATGCTCATTTAGAAGGCACATGAAGCCTCATCAACTGGCTTCTGTGCTAGAAAAAAATTTTTTTCCCATTGAACCACCATCATTCCTGATACAATTTCCAAAGAGAATCATAACACTGCAGATAAAAGACATGACTCTCATATATTGATTTGTCTATCCCCCTTTGAATCTGGAGAAACCATTTACTCTCCCTGGGTAGAGCTGCCAGCAATTATGCCTTGTACCATTATAATCAAGAATGTAACATAGCAGTCTCAGCTATAGCAAATAACAGTAAATATTCCAAATAATTTATGCCAGAAAAGAGAGAATCAGTAATATAAAGAAGAGGAGGAGGCAACAATGCTGGATAAGAAATGTACTCATTACCTTGCTCATGTAATTGTAACCCCTCTGTACAGTATTTTCACAATAAAAAACTTATTTTTTTTAAAAAAGAAGACGATCTTAGGTGGTCTGAATAAAGTATGTTTTACCTTGAATAATAATACTTCCAAATAACCCACAGGTATAGAGGCCACAGGCTGGATTGCACATGGGAACTGGAGGCTACAGAAGTCATGGGCTGGCTTCAGTTCTGGACAAAGCTGCAGCTGATTATCTTTGCTTTTAGCAGCACTTATGTTGTGGCAACAGGGAAAACAGAATAGGTTCTGGTAAATAGGAAGGGTACCATGGGGCCAAATGGGACATTTAGGAACGGTGTTAGTGTGAGCATTCTTAGCAACTTCAGTGCTACAATGAATTAAGCTATTTGGGGAAAAGTGAGCTCTAGATTAAGCCAGGGAATACATTTTTTTTCCTCTCAGAAAGAAAAGAATGCAAACATTTCCCCCAATGTTTTGAAATTTTAGGTGATGCAATTTCTGAGGTTAATCTGAAATATTTAAGGACACAAGCCATAGAGAATTGTAGCGTCTTTATCAAGACCCAAGGGAAGATGATGAAGGTAAGCTAGAAAACTCTCAGTATGAGGTCTGGTTGGATACTCAGGAGATGCCTCCCTGCAGCCCACAGAGAGACTGATTGGGGTCAGATCTCATCTGCCTTCTAAATGGATACTACCCCTCAGATGCTTTGGGAGGGAACTTGTACTGGTCATTAACAAGCTGGACATAAGAGACTTGCTTAGGTACAGTGCAGTTATTGTGCATGTGGAAAAACAATTACAGAGAAGCAGGATTGAGCCACCAAGAAGGCTAGATATATGTGTTAATGCATATACAATCCTGTGTATGTATGTGTATGTTACATGCATTTTAGCATGTTACATGTTTTTTCAGTTGACACTCTTCTTTTCTGATGATATGTCACTAATATAGAACTATATGCTACAGGAGAAGAGGTTAGGGTTGGGGATGTAGCTCAGTGGTAGATTGTATACTTAGCATGTGTGAGGCCATGGGTTTAATTCCCTTTCTCCAAACCCTATCCTTTTGTTCTTAATTCTAAATAGCTATAGATTTCTTCTTCTATTGGCAATATCTAAAATATTTAAATATTAATATTCAGGAACTATTAATGAGTTATCCTCATAAATATTAATTTAGATAATTTAATCTTTGGACCTGTCTATAGGTCAATTACATATATTATAAACCAATGACCAGCATTTGCAGAATCATAATTTAAATATTAGATATTAAAAGACAAAGTATCATGGGTGGATCTATGCAGAAGGAAATGTACTAAAGCTAAATGAAAGCAAATATTCCTGACATTTATGTCCAATGAGCTCTCATTCTTTTTATTCCTTTATGTTAAAGGTTAGTTTTTTGTCTAAGTAAATACTAGAACTTTTCTAAAAGATTTTTATAGTGTTTATTATCTATCTATCTATCTATCTATCTATCTATCTATCTATCTGTCTAGCTATCTATCTCTCTCTAGCTATCTTTTTATCGATTATCTGTCTGCTTTTGTGCTGTTATCAGGACTTGTTCTTGCAGATTAATTTGGAGCGAATTTGTATCTTTACAATAGTGAATCTCATTATCATACCCTCCATTTATTTAGGTCTTCTTTAATATGTTTTGATAATTTGTAATTTTCTTTATTGAAGTAGTACCTAATTTGACCAGGCTTGTGATTTAGTAAGTTATATTTCTCAGGCTAGCATTAGTTAACATTTTTAAATTGTGTTGTCCATTTGTTCATAAAGAAAAGTTCAAATGGTCATGTGTACATCAAAATTTTATCTTTAGTTCTAGTAATTCATCTGTATGTTGTTTTAATTTTCTACAACTGTATAATTTGAAATGAGATTTTTTCCATTCTCACACATACTTACATAAATATTTGTTACCTTGATCAAAGGTTTTCTAGCTGAGCCCATGTCTTAATCTAATTGTTAGGAGCATGCTATATTACTTCAGTACTTAAAAAGACATTTTTTTCTAAGATATTCTTGAATGTATCATTTGTGCTAATGAAGTAACCTTTTATTTTCAATTTAATAAAATATTTAACTGGTCTTGGGGCTTGACCTCTGGGCCTGGGCTCTTTCGCTCAAGGAGAGTGCTCTACCACTTGAGCTACAGTAACATTTATGGCTTTTCCTGTGATTAACTGGAGATAAGAGTCTTATTGACTTTCCTGACCAGGCTAGCTTCAAATTGTGATCCTCATCCCTCAGCCTCCTGAGTAGTTAGAATGACAGGAGTGAGCCTCCAGATTTCACCTTATTTAGTAATTTTTTTCTTTTCTTTTTCTTTATTTTTGGTCGGTTGTGGGCCTGGACTCTGGGCCTGGGCACTGTCCCTCAGCTCTTCAGTTCAAGGCTAGCACTCTACTACTTGAGCTACAGTGCCACTTCTGGCTTTTTCTGCTTATGTGGTATTGAAGAATTGAACCCAAGGCCTCATGCATGCAAGGCAAGCACTCTACCACTGAGCTACCTTCCCAGCCCTAATTTTTTCTTTGACTTACATAAATAGCAAGTTTTTTTTGGGGTCAGTTCTGGGGCTCTCATCCAGCCTTCTGGCTCATACATAGCTGGTGCTCTACCAATTTGAGCCATATCTCCAGGCCGACAATGTGCTGGTTAATTGGAAATAGATTCTTGTGCATGACTTTGCCTAAGCTGGTTTCATACCACAATCTTCCCTTCTCAGGCTCCTAAGTAGGTAGGATTAGAGGGATGAATCTCAGGAGCCTTATATAGTGAATTTTAATAAATATTTCTAATAAGCATTTATTGAAAGAATATTGTTTCAATATTTAATATAGTGAATTATATCATTATACTTAATAGAACTTTGAATTCCTAGAACTTCACAAGAATAAATAATATTTTAAATTATATTTTGATAGATATTAGTATTTCCTTAAGGTTTTACATTTATGATCATGAATAAAATTAACCTGTAATTTCTTTTTTCTTTGTACTGTTCTTTGTTTTTCTGTCAAGGCTATGCTGGCCTGGTAGAAAGAGTTAGAAACTGCTATTCTTGTCCTAATCTTCAAAAATGGTATCACTTTGAAATTTTTCTTCCAGTGATTTTAGTAGAATTCCTGGTGAAAAGTGTCTAGCTCTGGAACTATGCATGAAATGATTTTGAAAAAACAATTGAGCAAATTTTTAAAACAATTGTAAATTTTATATAAAACATATGTAAGATTTTAAAAATCATTTCAATTATGTTCATTTTTTAAATCTAATTTTGAAAAAAGTTTATATTTTATTACTGTTTTGACCAGAGGAATGTGGTTTGTTCCTCTTTGTATCCCTGTGGTGATTTGCGCTTTTCCAGGAAATTCCTCTATTCATACTTTTAAAAAACAAACATTTGGCTGTATTGATGTGCAAAATCTGTGTTTTCTATCTTGTTAATTTCTATTTTTGTCTTTTTTAAATTAAAAAGTTCTGTTTGGGGTTTACTTCACTCTTCTTAAGATGGATACACAGTTCTTTAGTTTTTTCTTTCCTAATATAAGCAATTAAAGCTATAAACATCCTTCTGATGTTTGTATATTTCCTCTGTTGGAATACTAAGTATTTTATTGCCTTCTAGTTTGAAATATGTACTAATATCTAAAGCACTTCTTCATTTTTAAACATACACGTGCCTATAGTCAGAGAGCATGATCAGATCAGCACAAAACTAATCTGAAATTTGTTGAACTTGTTTTATGGTCCAAAATCAGCTTGTCATTTTCCACATATACAATTGGGACTTTGAAAGTATGGTGTCAATTTTTATACATATTCCTGATTTGCTTATAAAAGAATATTTTGTATCTGCTGGTCATGGGTTTTTGCTACTTTTATTGTTTAAATATTATATATCTTTATTTTCCAATACAAATGGTTTAAATCAGGGCATTATACTTGTTAGGCAGGGACTCTAATCACTGAGTGAGTCTGTCAGCTCCCTTTTTTGTGTTGGTTATTTTTGAGGTAGGGTCCTCCTAAGATCTGTCTCCCAAGAAGCTGGAATTCTAGGCATAAGATACCATGTCCAGGACATTCTTATTTATTTATTTAGCAAGATACAGAATTCTTGGTTAGTAATTATTTTCTCTCACCTGAGTAACATTATTATTTCACTGTTATCTCCCACTGCTAATGTTGTAAGATTGTATGGAAGTTTACTTTTTTGATGATATTAAAAAGTATTTTAAGGTTTTTCTTTATGCACATGCCAATAATAAGTCCATGTGGAGTTATCCTGTTTAGTGTTCAGAGGCTTCCATTCATCTGTGGGATAGTGTCTTTCTGGAAAATTCACAGCAATAATGGCATTTAATATTTACCCCTTTTTCCCCCTCCCCAGACACTTCATAGAATTCTCCTTAGCCATATGTTAGATTTTCCTGCTCTTTTATCTGTTCTATGTCCTATTTTCCATTTCTATTTCTAGGCTCCATTCTAGATCAATTCTTAATTTTCCAATTTATTCATTCATTCTTGGTTCTAACGTGCTGTTAAACCTGTCCATGAAAATTTTAGTTTCTATTTTTTTCCTCTACAAATGCTGTTTAGCATTTCTTCAAATCTTGCTCCTTATGTTTTGATAATCTGCTTCCTTAGTCTAGTAAGTATAGGATGGGACCATTTTATAGCCTAGCCTTAGTAATTTTCTTTCTTTCTTTCTTTTTTTGGTTGGTTGTGGGGCTTGAACTTAAGGCTTTGACACTGTATCTGAGCTTTTTTGCTCAAGGCTAGTGCTCTACTACTTAAGTCACAGTGTCACTTCTAGCTTTCTGATGGTTACTTGGAGATAAAGAGTCTCATGGACTTTCCTGCCTGGGCTGGCTTTGAATCATGATCCTCAGATCTCAGCCTTCTGACTAGCAAAAATTATATGTGTGAGCTACTGCTGCTCACTAAGGCTGGGTAATTCTATCTCACTTCCAATATATGAATGAGCACACAGACTTTCTGCTGCCTGTTCTTTCCTGATCTTGCACACAGTCTCTTATTTCATTTTATGTAAAGTGCTATTGATAATGACTAACTCATTTTCCTAGGAATATTATTTATTTGATCATTACCTATTCTCCATTTTCTTTCTTTTATATCCTGGAGTTGACCTGTCTACTCTGGTTAACTCGCTTTCATTTTCCTGTGTTTTAGGAAAAAAAAAAACAACACATTTCATGTTCCAGATTCTAGACTTCATTTGCTATTTTTAGTTTTTAATTCCAAAGTGCTTATTCAGTAACAACTTCTTATCAATCTCTTTTTAATCCAATACAAATAATTACAAATCTTTCTGAAAACTGTGATTATACCTGCACATTTTTCCGATTTTCCTTAAATTACAAAGATTCTTTTTTTTTTTTTTTGCTAGTCTTGGGACCTAAACCCAGGGTCTGGGCACTGTCCCCAAGCTTCTTTTGCTCAAGGCCAATATCCTACCACTTCAGTCACAGTGCCACTTCCAGCTTTTTCTGTTTATGTGACACTGAGGAATCGAACCCAAGGCTTCATGTATGCTAGGTAAGCACACTACCACTAAGCCATCTTTCCAGCCCCCAAGATTCCTTTTGTGGTCAGTTCTTTTTTATTCTCAATGGCTATACATATAAAAATAGAAGGTATCTTACTTTGGGTATGCAGAATTTTTGAGAAAAACTGACCAGTGCCCAGCCTGTTTCAATATTTAAGTATTAAATGGTACATGTAATACTTAAATATTATAAAATAACAAGTTAATATTATAAAATAAAGTTTTTATTTTAAAAAGTTTTACAAAACTCTTCATTGGTTTCAGCAAATCACTATAAAAAAGTGGGACAACTGAGTGACATTGGCTAGTGCTAGATATCCTTACCACCTTCCCTGACTTTTCTCTAGCTGAACATAATGGTTCTGGGGTGTCTGAGAGCATTTTTCTGAATATCTTTTTTTTGTGAAAACTCTTTTGCCTTTCAGTGGTCCAGTGGGGAGCCTCAGTTCTACAGACACATCCACTAGCTCAGAGTGATTTTCTTCTTCAAACATAGCAACTGAAAAAAATGTTATCAGCCCACTGTGCTCATGAAATTAACCTATGTGGATGTACTCTTTTAGGATGGGAATAATGTAGTTTATGCATCTTAATGCCCTAGACAAAATTAATATTGGTAGTGCCAAAGAAAAGGTTTAGGATACTATTTCATGAAGTGCTTCTGTCTTTGATAACAAAATTCATGTGTTTTATTGGCCACTGATGAGTAAGGAAACTACTTCCTTACAGTCTGCCCATTTCAAAGATGATATGGAATATACATCATGCAACTTGGGATTTTTCTTCATAAATTCTAAAGTCATTTATTTTGAGGTCTTTGAACCATTTATTTTAAGAAAATCATTTATTTGCCTTTTAATTTTTTTCCTCTTCACATATATTAAGACACAACTCTAACAATATGCAAACTCCTCCCACATAGGATTATGTTGAAATTCTTTCTTCCTTTAATATTAACACTCAGGGTCACTAAGAATTATATCCATTTGGGGAACACTTGAACAAATGGTCAACTTAATTTGGTTTGTTCAGTGAATTCCTTCATCAGCCATTGATTCATCTTCCCTCTCTCTCACTCCCCCATTTAGAGCTATAGAAACAGACTTTCTTACTTGGATTATTGTGTCCAGAAGATACAAGCTGAGAGTCCTGAAAGAATAAGAAATATCAATTAATTTGACTATCTTGGCTTTCTAATCCCAAGCTGAATATGAGATATTTTACTGATCATTCAGAAGCAAGTCATTGATCATAACTACCATCTACTGTCATGAGACTATGCTTGTTAAGTAGTTCTGAGAAAATAGTTCATAACCACATTTATTTTGTATTAATGACTTTTGTTTTATTTATTGAGGTGAAATTCATATAACATAAATCATTTTGAAGAAAACAATTCAATGGCATTTAGTACATTCACAATGCTGTATAACCATCACCTCTATCTAGTTGCAAAGTACTTTCATCACTCCCAAATAAGGACTCCTACCCATTAAGCAGTGGCTCCTCATTTCACTTTTCCTTTCAGTGACTAATTTCCATCTTTGTCTATGGATTTAACTATTTTACATATTTTGTATAAACAGAATCATATAGTATAGGACCTTTTAGATATGGCTTCTTTCAATTAGCATAATATACTTGAGTTATTGGCTTATTTCACTTAATATGATTTTTATGTTTGGAAAATATATACCATACTGGTTTTATCCATTTGTCTATTGATGGGTGTTCAGGCAATTTCTACCTTATAGCTAACATAAACATGCTTTTATGAATACATATATATTCATTTTGTTTCTGTACATACTTATAAGTGAAATTTTGGGGTCATATAGTAACTCCATGTAAAATTTTGCATTCCTACCACAAATGCATGAAGGTTCCAATTTCTCCAGAGCCTCAACAACACTTGTTATTTCCTATTTTTTAAAAAAAATCTAGCCAGCCTTGTGGGGATAGAGTGGTATCTCACTGAGTTTTGACTTACCTAAAAACTAGTGACATTAAGCATTTTTTTTCAAGTGTTTGTTGGCTATTTGTAAATATTCTTTGAATAGGTACCTATGCAATTCCTTTGCCATTTTTAATATCATTATTATTTAGTTAAAAGAGTTCACTATACAGTATGGATACTGTATCTTTATTAGATACATTACTTGTCAATATTTTCCCCATTCTCTTAATTATCTTTTCCCTTCACTGAAGTTCTATATTGAACAAAAGTTTTCAATTTTAATGAAGTTTTAAAATTTTTTTCTTTTGTTGCTTATTCCTTCAGAGTCCTATCTAAGAATCCATTGCTTAATCTGATAAAGGCTTAAGTCTGTTTTCTTTTTATGACATTTATGGGTTTAGTTCCTGTATATAGTTACTGATTTATTACATTATTGACTCAGAATGTAACTCACTTTCCTCTGAATGTACCTTATTGCCAGAACCTCTCTGCAGAGGTTGGCAACCTTCTTTTCCACCAAAGACAATGTTCTGAATGAACATCTGTTGTCAATCACACAGAGGTTGACAAAAAGATCATTACAGATACACCTTTATCTTCAAGGGTACAATTCCAGTATTATACAGTATTTTAATATAGCTACTACTCAGAGATTGAACCTGATTTTGTTTCTATTAAAGTGAGATGTGAAATTATGTCTTGAGAATTCACCATCACCCTCCTTTGCAAAATTCTCATTTAACATGAAATATATAAGGGTAAAATAAAAAAATGACTTGAGATCATAGGCATGTAAAAAAAATAATAGCATAAAAATTCTAACATAACTCCTTTATAATTCTGGTATGTGGAATAAAAATCCATTGAGATGGAATTAACTTCTATGATGTTAACATATTTTAACAGAATTTAATGGGGCTGAATGGGACTTATGCCATATTCAAGTTCAAGTAAGAATGTCTGTTGTAAAAAAGGAATTCCAGGGACTAGCATAAAATGAGCCAGCCTGGTGGGCAGGATCTGGGTGAGAATAGGACAGGAGAATCCTTGCTCTGTTGGCAGATGCCAATTAAACCTCACTCAGTGTGTTGGTATAAATGAGCCATTTATCTGAAGAAAGAACCAGTTCAAATCTTACTCTGAGGTTCAGATTTTAGAAACAGTTATATGATAGTTATATGATAAGATCTTATTTTTGAAAAATAGGCTAAAATTCAATCTACCAAAAAATGACTGGCCTATTTTGGATATATGTTATTAGATATCTACAGTTACATTCACCAGGTAGACTGCTGTGTTTTCATTCCTTTGTATTTAAATTTTAGAGTTTATATCTGAACATGTTAGTTTTACAAGGCTTTCATTTGTGACAAAAATTGTGGGCCCTAGAGGTAATGCGTCTGGGCTGTCTGTAAATTACTCCTCTCATTCACCATCTGTTACCAAAAATAAAACTGACAGTTTTGAACAATAGATAATGAAAATTATAATTGTTTATTTTTAGATAATGTTAAACATGGAACTTTAGTGCAAATAATTGGTTTGAAGTTTATTTGTAGTTTTTGATGCATGCTAGCAAACTCAAGAGGGAGATTTATAGTAAATTTTCTAACTCCAAAGCATCTCCTTTTACATTGGCTGGCTTTCTTTCTCATCCTAGGTTATAAAGAGAAAGGCAGAATTCTCAGTTCTGTAATGATGCTGGAATTCTTCTCTATAAATCTTTACAAAAAGTACTCAGCAAGAATAGTTACAGACCAAATCTAATGCCAACAGATTTATGGCCACCTGAAATGCTTATGAGCTGCCTATGGACCAGGACACCCCCTTCTGAAATAAGGAAAACATCCTACACTTTTTTTGAGTTCTTTATTTGCATTTCAAAACTTATGAGATTGATGGAAATGAGAGGGAAAAGGGCAGAGCAAAATCATTTTCTTCTCTCTTGGTTGGATACCTGGTAAGGGCAGCCAATTTGAAGGAGTCATGCACTGTTTTTTTTTTTTTAAAGCAAATCCAATTACTTTTGAGATTTGAAGAATGAGGCTGCAATGCCTGTAGTGTTTGTCTATGGAACTGTAACTTCCAATTCAGTCCTCAGAGAATTAACAGAAGTAGCCAGTGCATTATCAATTGACTTTACTATGCATTATGTTTTTTTAATATTCTGACAAAATGAGGAAATTATTTTAAGTATTGAGCTAATCAATTTAGTGGCACTGGAAATTTAGAATGCTCAATAAAACTGACTTTTCCTTGTGAGATCAAATAGCCCCTTTAATCCTATTAAAGCCTACATTTTATTACTTGCCAGTCATTTTGGGGATTTTGCCTTTCAAATTCCAGAAACAACTCTAGCCCAATACTTAAGCAATAATGATAATCTCAAACTTTCATTGTCTAATTAATCAATTGCCACGTGTAGCTGACAACATATCAATTTTGTTGAGATAAAGATTAAGAGTTACTCTCTAGGACTCATGTATACTGTGCCCATCTGCCAAATGCAAGGCCCTTGCTGGGTTCCCTCCTGGAATTTTAAGACAAACAAAAGGATTTTAAGACAAACAAACAAAAGGATGCACTCTGTGAAAATTAATAACCACCTTTGTATTAGGAGAAGACTGGCACTCCAAAGATATCTGCCCACTAATTCCCACAAGCTGTGAATATGTCCTCTCACTTCGAGAAAGGGACTTTGCAGAAGTCATTCCATGAATAAATTTGAGGTAGGAGATTATGCATGGAAGCCATTATAATCACAGGGGTCCTAAAAAGGACAAGAGGATCCCAGAGAAGTAAAAGATATGATAAAGGAAGCAGAGGTAATAGGATAGTACATCCTGAGTAAGGAAGGAGGCATCTGGAAGTTGTGTTTTTGCCTGCAAGACACAGTTTTACCTGGAGCTTCCTTAAGGAAGGCAGCCCTGCCTATACTCTGATTTTTCTCAGTGGAGCTGATCTTAGAGTTCTGACCTTCACAGTGTAAGGCAACAAGTGTGTATCTTATTCATTAAATGTGTGGCAGAAACAGGAGAGATACAACTTTGTTTCATTTGTACAAGATAAATGATCAGTACTTATACTGAGCCACTTGAAAAACACTATTAAAATCATTAAATGCTCTTATACTTTCATACTTTCTTGGGCAAGATAAACAGCCCTAAAGGTCAATCAGTTCCATGAAAATCCTAGAATATAATAAACTTCTAGAACTTATTTGTCTTGCATAATTGGAAGTTTGTACTCTGACCAATATTTCCTAATAATCACTGCACTATACTCCTGCTAACTACTATTATAATACTCCCCACTTCTATAACTTTGACTACTATTGCTATTACATATAAGTGAGTCATACAGTATTTTTCTTTCTGTGACTGGCTTATTTCAGTCAGCATAAAGTTTATGATATATACAACATTTACCTTTATGTATATGATATCTTTATGTATACAACACATATCATATATATACACATCATAGATGTAGCACATCTACCTGCATGCCATAAATATGAATGATATACAGCATGATAGACCAGAAATGTGACTACAGTTAGCAACATTATATTGATAATATTGCATGCTTAAAATCTGAATTGGAAGGTATGCTAGTAGGGCTCATTTTGGGAGTTTCTTGAATGATGGCAGTGATCTTTTTACAAAAAAAAGCAATACGTGAGGTGGGACAGATAGCCTGTTGTGATGATTACCTATTTTGTAAATAGGCAAATACTGAATCATCACACTCATTGCTTTAAATATGTTTTATCAGCAATTTACTAAAATTATCAAAATGAAAATTTTTCACTAATGATTTTCGGCTTGTTTCTTTTTGAGACAAAGATCTTGCGAGGTAGCTCACACTGGCCTGGTACTCATTATGTATCCCAGGCTGGTCTCTAACTTGAGATCCTTCTGCCTTTCTCCTCCTGAGGGCAAAGGTTCAATGTATTTGCTACCATGCTCAGTCTATACTAATGATATAAAATTTCTGTTTCTCTTCAAGAGTAAAGTTATTGCTTTTTCTTAAATGTTTATATGGAAAAGGACATTCAGGGAAAGTTAGAACAAAATTTTCTTTGGGGTATTCTCAATTATGTCAAAACCAGTCACAGATACGTATATTTAACAAAAATGCTTCTTTGACTGTATTTTGGACAGGCGTTATTTTTTGTCAAATCATATGCAAATATTCATTTTATTCTAAATGTGGCAAGATGCCATTGGAAACACATAATGCAGAAACTAGCTAAATTTGCGTGTACTTAAAGGAGTACAAGTCAAAGAACTTCAGATAGATTCCACTTAAGATGTACAACGAGATTCTACTTTATTCACTAGATGTTGTCAGCAAAGCATAAACAATTTCTTATGTGATTCTTTACTGAAGATGTCTGTTGGTCTCTGATTTTTTAAAATGGTACTAGGGTTTTGAACACACTAAAGTCTTCAACTACACCATTAGCCCTTTTTTGCTTTAGTTATGTTCTGGAGTCTAATGCTTTTGCCTGTAGCTAGCTATGGTCCAATGCCCTTATACTTATGATTCCTCCTACTTATGCAGCTGGGATCACAGATATGCACCAACATGCTTGTTTGTTCGTCATATCTCTTTCTATCTTCTAAGTAGCTGGGATAACAGGCATGAGCCACCACACTTGGTCTTTTTTCCTTTTTTTTTTGGTCTCAGAGTGCTGGGATCAAGTGATCCTCTTGCATCAGCCTTCTGGATATTTTACTCTACTTTTACTCTACTACTCTAAACAATAATTATAGGGAAAATTAGATGAATATACTAAAATATAGAATCAAGAATCCTGAAATAAATCCATATATTTATCTGAAATTCAACTAGTGGGAGAAAAAAAATGAGCTAATATATTGATAGTGTTATAATAATTACTAAAAAGACAGAGTCCTATGCTACATCATCTCCACGTACTTTTAAACCAAGAAAACAGACAAAAGAGCTAGAATAAAAGAGACTACTGTAAGCATGTTTTAACAAGGGAGACTTTTTTCCCCACTGACCTGAAAATTAAACACTTTTCTAGTATCAAAGGCACATAAATAAGGTTACAAAATGGTTCCATTATAAGTAATAGACAAATGAATAAGATATAAGGAGTTACTACAAATCATTTTTATGAAGTGGCAGTGGATATGAATGGACAATTTGCAAAGGAAAAACAGTCCCCGCTCAAGCTTAGAAGTAATTGGGGAAATGCAAATTAGAACAATGAGATATCAACTTTTCATCCATCACATAGACACAATGTTAAAATTCCAGATAATATTAATCATGTGATACATAGAAAGAACTCCTGAAATACAGCCAAGTGTAAAGGTGGTTTTTCAAGGCTCTGACGCTGTAACCATTGCTCTTGATGCCCTTATTGGGCAACTTTATTGTGGCAGGCTCTGAAGAGGCACACACAAATGGGCTGCAGTAACAGAATTTGTAATAATAGGCCATAAGGAATCTCAATGTCCATTAAAAGGAGCTTGTTTTAAATCAGTTGCAGTAAAACTGTACCACCCAATCATTTACTGCTGTTTAGAAAGATGATGAAAATCTCTATAGGCTAGCTAGAAGATCCTCAAATATACTTTGTTAAGGGAAGTGAAAATCAACTCTTAGAATGGAATTTACTCTTATAAGAGCAGTGAATAATTATTTCAAATAATTCAATTTAGGATGTTGTAATATTGTTATTCACCAATGATATTAATGTACTATGACAATCTGGAAAAGTCTATTATAAAATGTTTTGACTACTATAGAGTTAAAGTTAAAAAAATTGCACATGAAGATATGCACGTGTAACTCATAGGGACAATGACTAGGTATACACTCAGACTCGGGTTGGGATATAGACTCTGGTGAGCTATAGATTAGTTCAATTTAATTTTGTGACTGATTTTTCTGGTTTTCCTTAGCAAGCATAGGAATTACATTTTAGGTCTTAAAAATGTGTTAAGCTTTAAGAAAAGATAATCAAAAGAAGCTAAGTATCACATGTCTTAAATTCTAAGACATTCATTTTAAGGGAAACCATTAATTTAATAGTAGCTTTTCAGGAAAAAAAGACCAGGACATACAATCTCATCGAATGTGATTGTAAGATGTGACTGTAAGATGCATTTCAATCTCACAAATGTTTTTAGATAAAATGACAGGTATAACAAGCATCGCATTTTGCAGAATATGAAACAGGTAAGAAAGACAGCCAGCTCAATTCTTTCCTTGTGATGAATAAATGTGTGCTTGTAGAATGTTGAAGGTCAGATTCACATGCCTGGGACAGGAATATTGACATGGGAAAAAGATAGTGAAGAGTCAACGCATGTCCACTACAAATGACTACACACCAGCAGAGCACATTCCCCACAGTGATGCAAGAACTCACCTTATTTGGAAATGGAAATTTGCTTGGTTCCACTTTGCCAGGTGCTTGAATAGCAGAAAGCGGTGGAAGCCAGGTCATCTCCTAAAGAGGGGGATAAAAATCAAACACTACTGTGATACAGAGTATGAAATCAGGAACATGTAGAGCAGCTGTCCAGATGTCATGATAAGGCATGAGAAGGACAAGAGTGAATAGGGTATTAAGAGATAAAATGTGTTAAAGGATGTGAACCCCCTTTTCGTGATTTGTTTTCCTAATGTGATCAATTCTCAGTTCCTTGGCCATTCCATATGTTAGGAAAGTCTCATATTCCCATTTTCATTTCATTTAAAGCCCCCTAATAAAGAGACAGCCCAATAGTATAGGTTCTATGGAAAATGCCATAAAAAGGAGGGCTGTAGACTTATCCTACAACATTCACATGATGTCTCTGAAGGAACATACAAGTGTGTTTTTAATTTTAGGTGTCTTTATTACAGTAGCTATTTATACTATTGGAGATAAAGAGTAAATTCCCACTAAGTTCCACCCCCACACTGGTCTTCCTAAAAATGGTGCAGTGAAAAAACAACCACAGACATAATAAAGAAAGAATGATGTCGTTTTATTGGGAAGTATTAACAACAAACTTGAGCCCCAGAAGCAATAATTTGTCATGTACTTTTTGACAGACACTGTCACTAAACCATAATATAGAGAGGGGGCTGTTTTATTCATGTGTTGCATTCATCCTCAGCCCCCTCTTCTGGAAAAACATTGCCATCAATAACTATTTCTAGGATTAAAGTGACTTCTAGTGACCAGGAAGTCAACATGAAATAGACAGACAGGTAGGTCCTCACCCTCTGTTTTTGGTTTGCTTACACTTCCAAACCTAAGCAAGCACAGAAGCCATACTTGATACATTTTACGAAAATTGAGACATCCCTCTCAATCTCATCCCATCTCCCTCTCTTGAGGGAGGATGTTTCCTCACCTTTTGGTGGGTGGGTGAGAAGTTGACCAGGAATTCTGCTAGATTTGGGATATTATAGGTTAGCCACATGCTTTCTTTCCTTGGGTAGCTCTCCTCCCAAGAACCTCAGATGAGCTAGCAGCCACATAGATAGTTGAAGGAAGGTGTGTTTGAACACTATCCAGACCTGTAACATCTCTCCCTCTTGTGACACAAATGCCACAGGCAGCAGGAAGGTAAAGCAAATATGCTTTCAAAGTGTCCTTCTCCAGTCTGCAGTCACCACAGGTTTCTCTGGAAAGCAAAGGAGGGACCCAGAGACCCTTTATGTCTCCTTCTTATCCTACCTCTTGCTCCCTAAGTATCTTCAAAAGTCTCACTGTCTCTGCCGTTAATAAGCAGGACTGTCAGGTGTGCCCCCAGAGTGACATCTGGCTTTAGTTCATGGAATTAAGGTTCCGGTCATCATTCTCAAATGGTGGGCTGCTTGTGGAGGAAGTGGTCAGACCTTACCTTGGTTGTTGCTACCCAGTTAAGAAAGCTACTAAGATACACATGGGTTTCCTTCAGCCCCTAACCTTGTCCCTTCCTATAATTTGGCTTTCCCATAGCGCCATTCCTCCCCTCTCCCCCACAAGGCTTCTAATTCTTATCTTTTATTTAAATTACTGGCTAGGATGTGTAGTTGTTGTAAGTGGCAAATCTTTTGTAGAGGAAGTTGAGTCATTGATTGCACACACTTGAACTGATTTTTCTTTTCCTCCCTGTGGACTGTTCGATGTGTCCCTAAGGCCATCCTACTCTTAATCAGCCACTCAGTAGCTTCCTTCCTTTCCAGTCATTCTCCGTCTTAAATAATTTAGACTGTGTGATCCTCAGGGAACAAACCAGACAAACACAAACTAATTACTTGATTAAACATCAGACTTGCAATACAGCCTCCAGCATGTCCATGTTAATCTTGTGCAAATTATCTTATGCTTTCTTTTTATATATCAGCATGTCTATATATGTTCAGTTTGTGTTTAACTGCTATAAAACAAAAAAGATGAACTATTTCCAGTGTCCTATAGCAATAAATGAGAAGAGAAAGTTCATAAATACATAAATAAATAATAGTATGTTCAAAGGCACATTTTGTATACTGGTGTCTTTCTTTAACTGATACTTTCAAGTTAAAATTTGTTCCCTGCACAGTTTATCCAAGAGGAAAAATAGAAAACAAGCTTCCAGAAAGTGCTAAGCTTTCTACTTTAAGGGTAGAAATAGTGTTCTCCTGATCTTTGAACTCAACCCTGAACACCTAACAGACATCTTAGGTGGCTTGTTGAAGACTGTCTCCACATGGTAGGAATCATTGTTAGGTCCACTAAAAAAATCCTCCTAAAATTTCCAATTTGGGATCAAGCCGTCATTCTGTCTTCTCTTATCCTATACTTGGGCTGCAGCACACTATGGCAGTGATGCTGGTTTGAGACACTGGCTCATATGGGTCCTTCATAAGAGATGGTAATCCTTCATTTATTTCTGACCTGTCTCCTGTTCCCTCTTTTGAGTTCCCCAGATATCATTCCTATGTTTGGTGACTCTCCTGGAGCCTCAGTTTTGTCCTCTCTAACAATTGGTGGACTTGCCTCTTCTTTTCTTTTATTTTTTTTGGTGCCAGTCCCAGGGCTTGAACTAGTGCTCTACCACTTGAGTCACAGCTCCATTTGTTTTTTCTTTTGGGGTGTAGTTGGAGGAGAGAGCCTAACAGACTTTCCAGCCTGGGCTGGCTTTAAACCACAATCCTCAGATGATCTCCCAGCCTTCTGAGTAGGTATGCTTACAGGGGTGAGACAAAGACACCTGGCTTTTCTCCCTTTTCACTGAAAAAAGATAAACGCTCTTAAGTTTCAGTGTCCGTAAGGACAAATCTGTTGGTATTCATGCCCATCTCCCTTCTTTCCCTCCAGCCTGACTACAGGAGCTGAGCACAGGTTGATTCCCAGCTATAGCCTCCATCTCTCCTGCTCCTCTGTCTTGGGGTATAGAGCTATCAGTTCCCCATTAGTATGTTTTTAATGTCCACCTTTACTTCTTCACTGACTTCATCTCATAAGAAGTTGGAGGCCTTAGACCCTCCCTGAAACTGTACCCCAGCTCTAGCTTTTCAATAAATCTATTAGAAGATAATACACTTCTTTCCCAAAGAATCCTTTATATTTGCTGTTTTGACATCTTCATCAACTCTCTTGACTCATCCCTAAAAATGTTTTGTTACTAATTCTACATAATATCCATATACTGTTGTATGTACCTAAAGTTTAAGAATAATAAAATGGTTGAGCGTAAACTGTAATCTCAGCTATTGGGGAGGTAATATTGGGAAGACAGCAGGTTGGGGCACAAAAAAGTTTGTGAGACCCTAACTCAATGAAAAGCTGGCTATGATGGTGTATTCCTGTTGTCCAGCCATCTAGGAAATGTGCCTGGATGACTTCTACTTACTGGGTATTTTGTACTGAAAGAACAGGCATACACCACTATGGCACTCTGCTTTTCATTGGTTGGGATAGCATCTTGTGGATGTTTTAGCTCAGGCTGGCCTGAAGCCATGATTGTCCTGGTCTCTAGCTCCTGAGTAGCTAGGATTACAGGAATAAGCCACTGTGCCTAGCCTCCATTCTTTTGTCAAAACTTCTTCCTTCACCCTCAAAGTTCCTTGAATTTTTTTTTTTCAGCCTTGTCGCTAGTGTTCATCTACACACATCACTGTTAACAATCTTCTAGGCTGGGGGTAATGCCAAGTGTACACCACTTTAGATGTCTATTGTGCCTTTAAACTGGATGTTCCACAGTTAATCGGAATATATTATATTTAAAGATGATAATCTATTCTCAGAAAAACTTTCCTTTTTAAGATTCTGGTTAAATGTACCAACCTTGTGCATATTAAATCTTTAAATCAGAATCCCTGGTAGCATCTTAGAGTCTTCCTTCATCACTCTTTTCCTACCCACAAGTAAAATAGTAGCTCACATTTTATTAAGCACTTACAATACAAAATGTTTTACATAATTTAATTTACTTAACATAATTTATTTAACATGATTTCCTAAAAAACTCTAAAAGTGACAGCTTATTAGTTTTATTCACTGTAGGGACCAAGTCACTAAGAGGTTAAATGGTGTGCGTAGGTCCATCTGCAGCTGGGTGGTTCTCCATTGATAATAAGACCTTTTTGTTGCTAGTCAAGGCCTATCTCATCTCACTGCTCTCCCAAGCCAATTCCCTGAAAGCACTAAGCTCTACATGTGTGAGTAGCCTCACCCAGCTTCTTGTCTTTTGGGCTGTCCATCCATCTGTGAAGACCCAGTTTCATTCCTCCTTTGCTAAGATGCCTTCGTGGGTCAAGCCAGGATTTGCATCCAACCTTCCTTTGTGTTACATTAGTCCATATAGATAGGGGATATCTTTGAGGATCCTGTCCCCCTAATCTGTGAGGAACTCCTTAAGGCTGGATACTACATAGCTTGTCTGGTGGCCCTAATCCCTAATGTGGAGCCCGGAACAGAGTATGTGTTCAGGACATTTTTGGAATGAATGTCAAGTTGAACAGCATCTCTGCAATGTTTCTCCTTACTTTATTACCTGAATTACCATTCTAACACACCATCATTATTTTCAACCTGCTTAATAGCTTCCTGATTCACTGAAGTTATAGCCTATCTTCCACACTGCTGCCAATTGAATTTTCCTGAAGTGCAGAATTAACCAAAAGGCTCCACCACTCTGAAATCTTCATATACCATTCTTACATACGTAACAATGATGACAGTAATAATGATATAGTTGCCTCTAGTTAAGCTTTATGGTTTTAGGACAGTTCTATGCAAATTTATGCCAACCCTTTAAAGTAATTATATCCATATTAGAAGCAAGGAACTTAGAGCTCAGAAAGATTAATTGATTTATGTCAGGTCATTACACTCATAAATGTCATAGCTGGAGTGAGGCCATGCATCTCTACTCCACCGCATTTTCCCTCAAAGATTTCACCCTAGGATGTGAAATCTACACTAAGGTCCCTATATTCATGCCTTTTTATGGCTCTGTAATATTCACCTGCATGAAAAGTTGGTGT